CTCTTGCTGATGGTTTGGTGCAAGCAATACTGCAAACAATCATATTTCTACCTTTTAAACTCAGTTCTGAAAGAAAATCTGTGCATTTTATTCAACAAGTAGTTTTAAAAAAAACACACACCTCAGCTCCAGTCACTTTATCTGAGCGGGTTTCTATCTGGATCTTTTCTGATTTTTTTTTTTATTTTTTTTTTTAAGTAATAAAGAAATAATAAATAAGTCTACAGTGTAGTTGGTGATGCCACGCTGGATGCAGCTGTTCCAAGGGAAGTGTTTGCCTCTCTGATCTTCTCATTGCAGTGTTTCCTCACCAAGGAAGCTCGGTCCTTGCTGTTCCAGTACAGCCAGTTGTATGTACATCTGGGCTTTAGCGGAGCTGCATGACAGTTGTGCTGGACAATCTGGTCTGAGAAAGCATTTAGGAAAAAAAGATAGGAAAAGGGAAACATCAAAAGTGATTAGGGATTGATTGTGCATGCTGTTACTCGTCAGAGCCAATGAGGAAATAATTTTAGTCAGGGAAGGGGAGGAGAAGGAGGAAAGGTGATGCCAAGCATGTATGAACAGAGTGGGATTTTATAGTTTCTTAGCCTGGCTTGGCTTCAGACACAGCTGAGCTTGACTGAGAGTGCCTTATGTTAATGCAGTTAAAGTTGTGGACTTGAAATCCAGAACATGCACAGTTACTGTTATTACATTAGTAAGGCTTCGTATCCATGAGCTGATCCCTGGAAGTGCTTTTTTTTGTTTCCGGAGGTATGCTTTGACTTCTGTTCAAATATTGGTAAAACCATTATTGCATTCCTGCAGTTCTTGAAATTTGACAGCAGATTCAGTTGTCAGAATGCAGGTACCTTCTTGTTGGGCCATAGGTGCTTAGAGAGCTGCAGGCAGTGGGCACCGTGGCACTACAGTTAGAAGGCTCTAGAGAAATGCTCAACTGCTGAGTCGCTGGATATCCTCTTAACCTCTTAAGCTCTGTCTCTTTCTAAGTTCAGACAAATGGGACAGGAATTTAGCTGTGTAGCTTGCATATGGACTTCTACATTCAGGTTGATGGGTCTCACATGCCATCTCTTTGGTTCCACTTGACCATTAGAGATCCTGCGTGCACATCTGCTGCAAGTGCAGAATGACATGGTTCCTGTGGTAGTAGGTAGGCCCAATACTATTCACAGCTGTCAAATCCATGGTGATAAAGGCTTGCCACATCACACTAGTCAGTTGAACAGTCGTACAACTGCATGATACCCCTTAACTGTGTGTTTTACAAATATGCTGAAATAAATTGTAAACTGCATTTAAAAAATAAAAAATAAAAATAAAAACCTTGGGCTTACGTGAGGAGAAAAAGGACTGTAAGAAGTGGGGGTACAAACCACCGGGGCCAAGGTGCCAACGGACCCGAGCAATTCATCTACGTGAATGCCTAGTGCCTTTCTCAAAGTGCTCGACCAGATATGAAGTACTGAGCATTGGAATGGAAGCAGTCAGTGGATAAAACAGGGGACATTCTTGTGAGACGTCTTAAAGCTCTCAAAATTTTACTAATATATTTTAATGAATGTTTTCAAACGGTTTACAACTTGTCATAAGGTTTCTGGCATTATATAAATGATGTCAGTTCTGCAACAGACTTTAGCTTGTGATTTGTTATTCTCATGTTTTCTCAGATTTTAATGGCTCTTTTCTTACTGTTTTGTTATGTCACTTTAAATGCTTTTCTGGTATGTGGTTAGAGTACAAAAAAATCTTGTTGTACATCAAAACCTTTTTGAGACAGAAACTCCAAGATATCACTCCTTGTACCTGTAAGAATTATGAATATGTAGATCATCAGAAGATGAAGGGAAGGCATGGGTTTTGCACATGAATGCACTGATCTGAGTACTCACTTCCCCAGAGGCTTTTAGGAGACTATGCTTGCTCTAGTGAGAACTGCAGTAGGATGAGCTTTCTTGAAGAAAAATAAGCTGCAGTGAGTAGTGTGACTAATCAGAGCATGAGGGAAGCCCTTCATGACACTTGCAAGCAATGGGATGGCCCCAGCAGAAACAGCATTTGATTTTTCTATAATTTCCATATTCTGTATTTCTAAGGATAGAGTATGCGGTCTCAGAGCATGTCTGTGAGTGGGTGATTCTTCTTTCTCCAAGGAAACTGAAACAAGTTTGAATGTGGACACTGGGCAATATGGCTCAATTTGTAAACAAATTAATGTGATCTTGTCTTGCATCCAGGTCTTTTGAGTCCTGGTAACCTCTGCATTTGTTGTCTCTAATATAAGATGGTATTGTTTTCAGTACTGTGCAGATAGCAATAAAATGTAATTAATCAGCTCCTTTAAAAAAAAAATAAAATAAAATTGGCAATTGTTTTCTGCACAGCATTACAAAAGACTTCAAAATGCTGAAATTAAGAAACATGATAATTTTTGCTGATTTTTATGGGCTGTGTTTCTTTTGTGTAATGTAGTTTTCTGTTGTGCTTAGCTTTTTGATACAATTTTCAACCGTAAGCTGATTCTACCAGACAAGGCCTAGATAGCCAGTCCTGCCAAATGATTACGTAGGTCATTGCTCCTCTCTAGAGAAGAGAGCAGTCTGACTGCTCGCATTATCATTGTCAGCAGCCTACTGATTATCCTAGGTCCTTCTGCTTGCATGCTGTGCATCTACTAGAAGTTCAGGCAGCCTTCAGCTAAAGGGGTTGGTTATCTGTTGTGAAACTCAGGAACTAGAACCCTTGCCTTACCTCACACAGTAACTGCTTGATTACAGTCTGCAAGTAGTTGTGTCTGGCTTTCAGACTTCTTCATTAGGAGTTAATTTATATGCAAGTTTGGTTTTCCAAAAAACAACACACATGACTGATCCACCCTATCATACATTTTTATAATGATAAGGTGGTGCAGGCTCATCTAAAATTCCTTCCGAGGGCGGTGCCAGATTTTTACTTTAGTCATCCTAACCATCTTTTCCTTCCCTGTATTTTTGTTGCAGCAAGGCTTTGTTTACATGAGCTGGATCCTAATAGATCCTACTCCCAGCCCTACCAGCACTTTGCAGTGTATTATAGATTATTATCACTAAAACTTCAGTTTTGTGGGGTTTTTTTCCAATTGTTTTATTTTCTTAAAGAAATGTTTCATTTTCTTCATAATTCTATTATTTGAAGCAGCTTTCCTTATTGTTTCACTTGGTTTGCAGCTCATAGTATGGGGAGACAATTATTTCACATGCTGTTCTCTTGTCACTGCCTAGGAATGATGCAGTTTAGCTCATAGTCCAGCAAAGGTGACAGAGGGAGATGGGGAAGGCAGGAGATGTGTCAAGCAGGTTTGGGACCAGAGTGTCCAAGGGAAGGAACTGACTTCAGTCTCTATTACCACTGAGGATAGAGTTGATGGAGCCTTCAGAAATTAGGTAGCGTGTGGATGGCTGATGGCTTAGCAAAGACAAGGAATAACACTGGGGAAGCAGAGATCTAGGCAAGAGAAAATTTGAGACAGGAGTCTTTGTTTCCCTTCTCATCCCTTCTTCACAACAAAAACTAAATATGCCAGTGGGATTTTAAAGAATGCTGGAGAAGTAGAACATGTTGGGAAGGGCTGACAGCATCGGTAGTGAGGAGTCAGGGTGCTTTGTTTTGTTTGGTGCTGACATAACCATTTGTGTAATTGATCCAAGTGAAATACCATGCACTCTCGCTACCATGTACCTCCCCATGATGAAATCTAGGTAAAATGTTTGCAATCTACTCTGTCTATCTAGAAGGTCAAACAACACGATGCCATTAATAGCTTCACCCACAGATGAGCAGTGGAGTAGTAATTCAGCTTTCTTCAGAGCTCCTATCCTATTCCTATCTGATAGCTATTTTCCTTAATAAATTTATGAGACCTTGTAGCATGCTTTCAGGATCTCTGAGATTGAAGGCTTTTCTGCTGATAAACCTTCTATCATCAGCTAAGATCTCACCTAAAGCCGGAGACTAAATTGTGCTAACTCATGCAGTCATTATGCTTAACATCTGTGGGTTTACTTTTTGGTCAGGTGAAAATAGGGGAGAGTTAGAGAAGCCACAAAAAAAACACAAATGTAGGGGAAACGGTTGCGTTCAGTTTTGACTGTATGGTGTGCGGGGCTACCAGAAGCATGACAGGAAATTCACTGTTTCATTGACAATTCCTGTGAAAGTATTTGAAAAACCTGGTAGCTATCTACTATCCAGCTTGAGCTGTTCTGTTGCTTAATTTTTTTTTTTACTGGATGCATAAATAAAGGGACAGAAACCTTTTAGCTGCAAGACATACATCTTCAAGATCCAGTGGTTACTAATAATTTTTGACAGAATTTACTTATGCACAGTATGTGATGATGAGGAGGGCTTCCACATTGTCTTTGAAGTAGAAACAGTTTTGGAAATATTGCCATCTCTAAGGAATTCTTACGTAAATGTAATACAGGAATTTAGTATGGAGCTTGAGTTTCTGTTGCCTGATTTTTATACAAGTGGGTTACAGGTCTTTGTTGAAAGTCAGTCTTCCAAATGTCAAATTTTTTAACTGGAAGTCAATCTTTCAACAGTCTGTCTTTTCACCTGGAGTGAAAAGATGGAACTGATTCACCATATAGATTGGGTTCATCAAAGATTAGTTGTCTGTTTCATTATTATCATTTTGTGCCAGCAGTCAACAGCCCGTAAAGTGGGATGATTGTGTTCAGTCAATTAATTTTATAAAGATATTTCTTGAAGAACAAATAATACATAAGAAAACCATGAACTGCACAATTGGTCAATTTAGGTATTACTATAAAGTCTTCAAGCTTTTTTTAAAAATAAATGTAGCTCATATGTTGCACAGTGCTTCTGCTCTAAAATTTGGTAGCTTTGTTTAAACGTTTAAGTGTCTCAATTGTGTTAAACAGTTTTTATACTTGTTCTAAATTAAATTCTTCTGGCAAATGATTTCTTATTTTGTTTCTATTGTATTGCAGACTCTTCTACAGATTTTTGGTGTGGTGGCTGTGGCTGTGGCAGTGATTCCTTGGATACTCATTCCCTTAATTCCACTATTTATTCTTTTCATTTTTCTTCGACGATATTTCTTAGACACTTCAAGAGATATTAAACGTCTAGAATCCACAAGTATGTAGCTTGGTGGGACTGAATGTTAGTTTGGACCCTGCTTATTATTATGTGAAATGCTAGCATTTTATAGACAATCCATCAAAGATTCTTCTGTTATGCAAATGACTTCCTTATTGCCTTTCTTCTCAACTAGTGGATTACATACTTAACTCTTGTTTTTGTGTAGTGACAGCCTTAGGTATATCAGTTTAACTGTCTGTAACTGAATTTTGTTACAAACATGCTAAGTAGCTGGTCTTTGGGACCTTACATGCGCATCGTAACAGTGCTTCTGATCTAATCTGATTCTTGTGCCTGACTTTAGCTTGGCTGTGATATGAAATATGAAGTATTATCAATAACAAACATGTTTGCCTCATGTCATTAATAAAGGTCAAAGAATTTCTTCAGTGACAGCTGTTGTTGGAAGACATTTTTGTATATATTAATCATTCTTACTGTCTGACTGATTCTGAGATACTGTTTGTGTATTTTGAAAGGATGCAGTACAGTAACTTGTATGGTTAAGCACAAAGTAGTAGGATTAATGATTAGTTCTACAAAAAAGAATTAAACGTTGCCCTTCAGCTATTGCTAAGTTACTCTCATTTCCCTTTGTAGCTCGGAGTCCAGTGTTCTCCCACTTGTCGTCATCCCTGCAGGGCCTTTGGACTATTCGGGCTTTGAAAGCAGAAGACAGATTTCAAAAATTATTTGATGCACATCAAGACCTCCACTCAGGTTTGTGATAAACGGACATGAAAATTCAAATATTTACTTTGTAGGAGGGAAATATCTTATGCCTTCAATGACATATATATAATGTACGTTAAAAATCAATAGGAGCTGTGCATTTTGTCTCTTTAGGGTAAAATTTCTCTATTAGAACAAAAAAAAAGTTATTATCTGTCTAGATTTTGAACGTTCACTTTGGGCTGTAATATTATTTGAAATACCCTTGGATATGTTTCAGCAGTGTCTAAGATAAACATTTTAAATTGTGCCTGAAAAGAATGTCTAAAGAATAATTTTTGACTTTTTCCTGGATTTCATCTTGAAAAAGACAGGGGAGAGGGAAACAAGCTATATTATGAAGAATATTAATTTAATATTAAGTAGTGTGCTAGAAGTCAGCAGTGATAATTAATATAAATCACAGTCTTGGAAAAAACTTCTGTGAATCTCTTTTTTACTTTGAATAACTTTCGGGGCTTAAATATAAAAAAAAATATAATTAACAAGACCAGAGGATACAAAATGTTAGCAAGCAGAATTAATAGGATTTAGGTTTGTGCTACGACTTCTTACCTTCTATCAATTAAATACTCTCTATTGGAATGTTCTTCAAGATACAGCAGAATGCAAGTTTGCAGTCTGGTATTTGTTAGGTAAGATCTTGAATTTCCCTGTCATAAGATGTGCAAGTATATGGCTTTTTTATATTTATATACAAGTTCTATGGCTTTTTTCTCATTTTTTGACTTCTAAAGATTCAGACCACAACAGAACTTATGATCATTTCTGACTCGCTGTTTATCACAAGCCATAGAAACTTGCACACTTTGTGTTGAGTGGAGGAATTTTTGATTGAGAAAACATACTTTCCACGGAGACACCTCTAGATTTGAATTTCCCATTTATTGGTATTTTCAATTTGTTGTGTATAATTTGTCAGTAGTTGATTGTAAGGGAACACAGAGTTGTTGTATCTTTAGTAGGAGAAACTGCATATACAAGTTAAACTATGCAAAGAGGACTGTGACCTTTAAAATAAATCTTTTATTGTATTTTATGATCAAATCAAAGGAGCATAAACACACTGTTTTTCACTCTTATGCCTCTATATCTTTAAAAAACTATCAAGAACACTTCCATGGGGCAGTTCAGGAGCCTGCTTTAGTGATTAAATTTTAGTGCTTAAAATTGCAGTGTTTTATGTACCTACGTGCTTCATTTCCCACTAAAGTATTTAGAGTATGGCAACTTGCTTAGTATATGTATTTTAAGATTCTTGGAGGGAATATTAGCCAACAGTGTGCCTGAGCAGCAAAGAAGGCCAACAGCATCCTGTATTCTGCTAACAGGAGCTCAGACAGAGGAATGAGGAATGTGATATCCCCCTCAGCACTTGTTAGGCTTTATATGGAGTGGGTTCAGTTGAGGAGTCACTAAGATGATCAGAGGACTATGAGGAGAAGATGAGAAAACTGAAAGCTTCTAACTTGTGGATGAGAAAGGTTAGAGAGGACCTTGTCAGTGCCAGCATCCAGTGAGAGCTGTACAGAAATGGACAGAATGAAACTGTTCACAGGAGGATTGTGAAAACAGGAATGATTTGAAATAATTTGACATGAAAGGCTTTTTACTGTGAGGACAGTCAGAATAGAGGAGCAGGATGTCCAAAGACTACGCAGGCTCCATCCATTATTGGGATTTTCAAGACCCAGCTGCATTAATTGTGAAACAGTGTGATCTGACTTCAGGACCGGCCCCACTTTGAGCAGGTGGTTGGTACCTCCCAGGGCTGTTTCTACCCTGAATGATTCTTTGATACAGAATGCGTGCAAACCGTTGCTGATGGAAGAGAATAATCTTGTGTGCTAGCTCACAGAGTTGGAGTATTGAGTTCTTAAGCGCCTCAGAGAGGTTTAAATTCTTTCCTGAACCATACAGTGTTCTTCCAGTCAGCAGTGTTTTTGTTTAGTGCTTTTTGCTGGGGTATGCTCCACTCTGCGTAAGGCTGAGCCTAGAAAACAGGACACTGCCTTCAAACCCTGTTTCAGGGATGTCTATGAATGTGGTTTTAAGTAACCTTTATGTAAGAAACATCTAAAAGGCTTCTTGAGGTTTGAACTAAGGCTGAGCTTCCTTCCTGTCAGTGCACCATCTCTACAAGAGAGTCCTGAGTCATCAACAGTTACAACATGATGAGTTTTTGTTAGTACCCAGGAATGTCGTATTCCTGTATACACAGTGGCCCCAATTACACGGGGAGACTGCAGAACAGTCAGTGTCTCTAGCAGACAGTTTAGTGAACCTCCCTGGACAACAGGAATGGAGCAAAACCTTGGAGTTGAAAATCTCCAACACCTTTGTCATATTTCTCTGTTTTCAGAGATACCCAGCTCCTAGGTATCAGAGAGATATCCATGCCCTGGGTCATGTCAGGGCAACAAAACTGGTGAGGGGTCTGGAGCACAAGTTTTACGAAGAATGACTGAGGGAACTGAGATTGTTTAGTCTGGTGGAAAGGAGGCTCAGGGATGACCTTATTGCTCTCTAAAACTACCTGAAGGGAGGTTGTGGTGAGGTGGAGGTTGACTTCTTCTCTTGTGTAATTTGTGATAGGACTAAAGGAAATGGCCTCAAGTTGCACCAGGGGAGATTCAGGGTGAATGTTAGGAAAAACAACTTCTCAGAAAGAGTGGTCAGGCAATGGAATGGGCTGCCCAGGGAGGTGGTGGAGTCACCATCCCTGGAGGTGTTCAGGAAACATTGAGATATTGTACTGAGGGACATGGTTTAGTGGGAAGTGGTGGCAGGTGGATGACTGGACTGGATGATCTTGGAGGGCTTTTCCAACCTTGGTGATTCTATGATTCTGAAGTTTCACCATGAATTCTATTTCTCAAATTAGGTTTGTGACTTTATATGATTCCTCTTTCTGCACATGTAATTTCATTGGGCCCAGTACTGAGTGCCTTTTGTTTAATGAAATCATGTATATGCAGTTAGAGCTGATATAATTGGAACTAGGAAATTACCAGGTCTGGCTTTTGCCTGGCTGCCCATCATTGTCATCTTCACTCTTCCCCCCACCCTCCAGAAGTTAGCATTGGTTAAAGACAAGCAGTGCAGAAAGCATTGGGTTGGCAGTCTTTTATGTGACTTGGTAGCAACTAGAACAATACATCTAACTGTATCCTAAGCAATATATAATGCCATGCTTTGTTATGGGTATTTCACTTCTGATTTTGGCCTTGAATTCAAACACTTTACCTTCTGTATTCAGTGTCTTTTGCTGCTGTCTCCTGTATCTTGTACTGCAGAATATCTATATGGGATGGAAATTAGCACCAAATTGTGAACGCTTGCTTACATATGTAAGTGGCCAGTGGAAATGTTCACCTGTAACCTCCAAAAGTAGATGTATGCTTTTGGTCAGTTGAACAGCTCTGTAGCTCCACTCACTTTAATGAGTAGCTCTAATCTGCTTAACCACTTGCAGCTCTCTTCTAGAGGCTTTACTCCGACGTTTGTGTTGTGATACTCCATCCAAAAGCCTGTAGAGTCTAGTCCAGTTAAAGCAAATGTAGTTGTACTTCTGCTTTTTGTCTGGAACTCCTGTTCATAGTCCACTAGAATTAAGGAAAGGCTTCTATTTTAAAAAAATGTGCTGTGCTTCAGACCTTTTTCTTCCTATTACTGAGTGTTACGCTAGCTTTGGTTGCTGTTAATGTGATTACTAGGTCAGACCACTCCAGGAAAACTGGACAGTATTCTGATGATCATCTCGTAGAGATGTGCACTTGAAGATTTCAACTGTAATTGATAAAAAAGAAAAAAATGTAAAAAGGCTTTCTAATATAAATGTAAACTGATTTAATAGTAATTATACAGCTCGGTTTTCTAATAATCCACTGTTCTAATGTCTTTCTAAAATACCATTTAGAGGCCTGGTTTCTATTTTTGACGACCTCGAGGTGGTTTGCTGTGCGTCTGGATGCCATCTGTGCCATTTTTGTTATAGTGGTTGCTTTTGGTTCCCTGCTTCTTGCCAAGAGTAAGTACAGACGTTAGAAAAAGTTCACCCAGTAATTACCATGTATAGTAATGCCTAATTCTTTTTCATAGTTTACTGTTTCTAATTGTTTAAGGACCATAATTAAGTTAAATGTTTCTTTCTAGATCATGATCTCTTCCTCAATCTAGAGCATTGGGTCTCTATCTCCTTTTCTGCAAATATTGGAAGCAGTTCAGACATCTTCTGGGCATGCATTTACCATCGTCCTCAAATGTGCAAACAAACTTGCAGATCTGCACTTCACTTGGGCGATTCTGGCTTTCAGAGCAATAACAACAAATAAATCTTTTTAGCCACCTTTGCCTTTCTTTTTTAGCCCTACAGGGCTTTGCTTTTCATATTGAAACACCCACAGAGCTGCTTCTTAACAGCTCTTTTCCTTTCTGCACATGGCACAGTAGGCAAAAAGGCAGACTAAAATTCCTAGGGATACTTTTCTAATGTCTTGGATCAGCAGGATAAGCAAGTTGGAGAAAGAAAATCACCTTGTAATCATGCATTTTATATTCACTGTCACTCACGAACTGTCATTAGTGTATGCATCATCCAGGATGTAATTGGGTAGATGTACTAGAACGAGATAGTCATCTAAAGTATGAGGGAAGAAGTAATTATCTTGGACGTGAAAATTAGTGCTAATTTGCTGTTTTTGTTTCTTTTCTTTTTCCTTTGGACAAGTTATGTGTATGCATGTGCGTTTCAAAATTTGAACACTCTACACTTCTTGATTCTGAAAATTTTGAGCCAGATTTGAAGTTAATAGAATGCAAACAGACAAGTCAAAACAATGGTCCTGAATCTTTCCTTGCCTCTGGATAAGGAGTAGCTCTCTTGAAGTCAATAGAGCTGTGCTAGGATAAAGTTCAAGTAAGTTAGAAAACAATCATGCTTAATATTGGGGCAGACGTAATTATTTTATTTTATGAGAGTAGGCCCACTGAACCCAACAAATCTTTATGTAAATAGGGGGAAAATATTCTGTACAGTTATTTTATCTGATCACTTAAAACTGTACAGAGTTTATGTAAATGTTCTTAAGTTGAAATCATTTTGCGATTATTTTTTGTTCAGATTTAGAGGTTGATATAATTCCTTCATAAAAGACTGGAAACTTACCAATGCTTAGCTGGGTAGGAATGACCTAATGAGATATGTAAGTATGGTCTTGAGACCGAGTCTCAGTTTTAAGATAAAATACCTGGCCAAGTATCAAGATTCATTTCAAAAACACAAATAATATCCAAAACATACCCCCAGAAAGTGCTGCAAGAAACTGTTCTGCCTGGAGATACTCATTGCACACACAGATGGTAAGTATGGTGTAACCAAACAAAATTCTGGCTGTGATAATTCCATCATGTAAGAAACCTCATGAAAGTGAAGTTAACTAGAATTGTGTAATTAGTAGTGTACCTATTTGATTCTCTCTTTTCTTTGTTCTGCAGCTTTGAATGCGGGGCAAGTTGGTTTGGCACTGTCCTATGCAATCACTCTCATGGGAACATTCCAGTGGGGTGTGAGACAAAGTGCTGAAGTTGAAAACCTGGTAACGTTTATTTCTTCCTTTTCACTTCTTGGTTCCTTTGGGTAGTTGTGAAACATGATGCTTTAAGGACGGCAGTCTTCTTAGTTAACTTAGGATGTTAATTACCTTCTTGGGCAACTGAAACACTGTTTAAAGACAGTAGAGAAAAACAGCTTCTCCTAGAGTACAGTTTGTCTCACTGATTTTTGAATGTCTATTCAGATGAATTGTCCATCTCTGTTGATAGTATGGGAACCTTTATAATCTCCCTTCTTTGGTAGAAAGAAGACTGTCTAGTTTTGATGTAGAATCTGCATTCGAAGTCACTAAATTACATAAAATTAATCCCTCAATAAGTAAGATTTTTTCTTAAATACTTTTTTTGATTGGATATTTAATTATTTTTATTTTTTTTTGCACACATTGCTGCATGTTTTATTTTTGTTTATATCCATCATTAGGTTTTTTGTGATCGTGATAATTCACTGTAAAGGCTTACACGTTCTTAACTTGTTATAAGTTAACAAGTATTTGAAAATATTTAAGTTTATATTCACCTGAGAGGGTAGTGTGGTTTTGAATGTATGTAAAACAATATACTTTTCACCAATTTACAACATTTACTAGCATGCTCTATTTTGTCTTTTTCCTTTTTAAGCTAATGTGTAAGAAAAAAGGGTTATAAAGGGAACATACTGCATCATAAATCTGTTTGGGTTGAAAGGTGAAGGTTGCTTGTAAATATGGCTGTACTCTAGGAGACATACATATTCTTTTAATAAAAGGAACAAAACTATGTTTAATAGCAGATTAAATAAATAACAATATTAGGTGTGTTATTGGTGGTGGTGATAGGTGTTTTTTTGTCTAGCACTTTGCTTCTCCCTAGCGTTTTTCAGGCATGAATAAGCTAATGGTCACACACTTTGGGGAAATTCAGAGAAGTTCTTGGGATTTCTTTTAGTACCAGTTAGGAAGATTTGGAAGGATAAATCTGTTGCATTCTTGTGTAGTGAATTACTCTGTGAGAGGCTTTGTGATTCAAAAATACCTTGGAGGAAAAAGACTCACCATTCACCAGCTGGCTTTCTAGTGGAATATTGATCATTTCATGGGGCTGTGACAGGTGGGCATCCAGCAGGAATCTGGTGTTGTTAAAGGCTGACTGTTTTGGGGGGAGGCAAGAACAGTTCCCTTTCTACAGTTCTTTCTTTACACATTTTTCGTCTGAGCCTGTTTTGTAATGTGGAACGGGTAGGTAGCAGTGAGGTCAGAGAACGCGTTGCCTGGTGACTGCTGTTCTTTAAAGCCACTTCAGGGAAGGTAAGCTTGCAGGATATCTTTATGATGGCTTTTTTAAAATCCATCTGTGCACAGATACAGTTAAGTAAAATAAGCTGTACAGATAGTTGTTTGGGTGAGAATGTTTGCCAGAGCCTAAATATAACTTTTATTATTTACCTGAGAGGGAAGAAGGAGTGCCTAGATAGGTCAACTTCTATTTTTCTTCCCTTCCTAAGACTAAAGACTGCATCAAATACTGCCATTTACTTAATATTTGACATAAAATATACAGGGAAACAAGTTTTACTGAATATTAAGGCAATAATATGGTGTAACAGTTATCTTAGATTTTGGAGTTGCTTGTGATGAATATATTAAAAAGCACTAGTGCAGTGGTAATGAGGAGGACAAAAAAGGGAAGGTGAAGGTGGTAACTTCTAGTATGTTGTGACAATGCTAGTAGCTATCATTGGTATGCTTGTAGCTTATGTGGCCGTTTCATTTCTATCCCTTTTTTCTTAATACACGGTGAAATGGTGTAAAAAGCAGCCAAGACAACAAGCTTAGCTTAAGTTTCTTAAAACTTATGCACGTACTCCAAGTTGTAGTTAATCTCACTGATTCAGTTGTATAAAGTAAGTATGGGATGGTACCAAGCACTCCTATCTGTGCCTGAAGGAAAAGCTCTGGAATAATTTCCATTGAATCTTCACAGTAAAAATCCATGTGTGTGGGTGTGGGTGTGTGCACTGAAAAAACAGAGTAAACTGAAATGTATGGATATGTCTTCTTTCCTCCCCTTAGATGATATCAGTAGAAAGAGTAATGGAATACACGGATCTTGAAAAAGAAGCCCCTTGGGAAACCAACAAGCATCCACCACCTGAATGGCCAAGCCATGGAATGATAGCATTTGAAAATGTTAACTTCACTTACAGTCTAGATGGCCCTTTGGTGTTAAGACATTTGTCTGTTGTTATTAAACCAGAAGAAAAGGTATGTATATTGCTGGTTTTGGTCATTTATAGCAATTAAGCAAGGAGGATAAGTTGAAAAGAAGCTGTGTTACAAAAAGACACTGTAAAATACATGAATGTTAGGAAATCAGATAACTGTAATTTTAAAAAATAAGGTGATCATACTTAATAACATTAGTTGGAGCCTCTTTATTTCCTGTAAATATAGCATCAATGAATCCAGGAACGTTGCATTTCTGTATATCAAAACAAAAGTTAAGGTTAAAAATATCTGATAACTGATAAAGTGTAGATTTCATCAGAAAGTGGCTGACATTGAGAATATAAACAAAACCCAAAACGTTTGTTAAAATCTAAAGCAAATGGCGCTGCATTAGGGAATTGGGAATTCAGTAAAGGGAACAGAAATGGAATGATGGGTATCAACACAGAAGGTGAGCACAGACTACTGTATATAAGGAATGTACATGTTCTTGCACAGAGCCCAGAATAGAAAAGAAAGAAATACAAATCCATTGCACAACTTTAGAGTTGGGGATTTTATTTCAGTTCCTTTTGGCTACCAATCTAATTAACTATTGTGTTAATTAGATTGGTAGCCAAAAGAAACATGGAAATAAAACTCTTCCTCCTCTGCAGATTTGACTCTTCCTCCCCAATTTTGACACTATCCCAATTGAAGGAGCGCTGCAAGGAAGGTCTCTCCCACAGACAAAATTAAATTAGAGCCCTACAGTGTTAATTCACACTTTGCTACATTTCAAATACACACGTACTTTTTTGATTAGGATATCTTCCCTAGGAGGCTGGTTCAACTCTCTACAATCATTACCTTTGACTCATTTGTAACATGCTTTTCCATTCAGTCCCAAACCTGTTTTGTTCCTCAAGTGGACCCTTTTAATAACGTGCGTGTTACAAGAATTCAACACAACTTCGCTGCATGGAATTAAGTATGGATGAGTTAAAAAAAGGTGTTTAAGAAAAAGAACTTTTCTTGCCTATGGGCCATTTCTTCAGCTGTAATATATCACCCCAGTGTAATAGCAGACAAGGCAGTTTACTTTTCTAAGGGAGAGAAATAAAGTAGTAATAATAATAATAAAAAGGAGGCAAGAGATAATAACGTTGATTACTTCTTGGTAGGGGCAGGAGGAGGAGGGATGAGTGGGTATATTTATTTTTGCTCTGGTTCTGCAGTGGTTTTGTCATCCTGAAGTGAATTTGTTCAGCTTGAAACCATTGCCAAGGATTTCATGTTTGTTTTCTATGGTGCTTTGCACAATACTGCAGTAGACTGCCACTGTGTAAAATAAATCTTTCAAGCATCTGTGTGCCCCTTATACTGTTTTTAATTATGGAGAAGTGTCTCTTCAGAACCAGGTTTCTGATGCACTGGGGGGTTCTACCCATGGAGCTGGCATTGACAGCTTCTGTGCTTGCTCATACTCCTGACTACTTCAGACTTCTGGTGACTGCAGTGCCTCTCACGGAAGTAATGAATTTAAACTTCTGCCATGTGCTTAGATTTTCTTATAACTGACCATGCACCCAGTCTGCCAGGCTCTAGGTGCAGGAATAGATGAGGCAACTTCTAAGAGATCACTTATGGGATATGGTGTCTTTACACCTGCCACCTAGCCTGCATCATTCTGTGTTTGGTATCTCCCTATAGCCAAAGTAGCTGAGGAGGGTCCTTCTCATTTAACTGTCTTTGCTAACCCAGTGCAATCTGCCTGAAACAGACCAGAGGATGCTCGCACAAGGAGTTGTGCCAGCAGCCAGCTGTGCTCTGGTAGTATAGGTGAATCATAGAATCATACAGTCAATTGGGTTGGAAGAGACCTTAAAGCTCACCTAGTCCCAGCCCCCCTGCCATGGGTAAGGCTGCTAACCCACCAGCTCAGGCTGCCCGGGGCCTCGTCCAATCTGGCCTTGACCACGTTCAGGGAATGGGGCACCCACAGATTCTCCAGGCAGCGTATGCCAGTGCCTCACAACCTCACAGTGAAAAATTTCCCCCTAATATCTTATCTAAATCTTCCGTTTTTCAGTTGCAAACCGTTCCCCCTTATCCCATTGCTATCTGCCTATGTAAAAAGTCGTGTCTCTGAAGCAGATGTACCATGTACAACCCTAATTTGTAAACAGCACTATCTTTGTTTTAGGAAGGTTAGTTGAATTCAACAACTTACGAATGATTATTGACTATGAATCGTTAAGAGTACATTGCCTCAACAGATCCTGAATCTGAGGGTATGGCTACATGAAAAAGTTAGGAGGGTAAGGATCTAGATTTATGGCACGGATGCTGTTCACACAAATACCCTTACAGTGTAGCATGAAAGGGAGGTTGCCTGAAGGGTAGCAAGAGCAGTTTGAGATCAATAGCTGACGTGCTCATTTTTTGTGCAGCTCTGCTTTGAAGTACAAGTGATTTTTGAGTAATGATGAGTCCAGTGTAGCAGGTGTACTCTTGGGTATGCACATGGCTTACATCAAGGCTACAAAATCCTGGTTAGGTGATTCCTATTGGGTGGCCAGGACTTCTGTTTGTAGACCATCTTTGTGTTTGCACTAGTTATAGATGTGGATTTCAAACAAACACAGTGTTTTTTAAAAAATGTCTATAGGGAGAACTGTTTCGAATTCATCTTAATTTTCAGCAGCCTGTAGTCAATTGGACCAAAAATACAAATAGATTCTTCTAAATACTGAGCAGCATAGTCCTTTCATTTGTTGCCAAACTGAAAGTGGGATTTTGACAACATGCAGAGCAGCTGCATTTTTATTTTAAGTATTGATGTGTTTTTTTGTTGTTGTTTTTCTGTTGTTCTTAGTGCAATACTTTGTATCACTGATGCTTACAGGGAAACAATTGAACTTTTGTTTTCATAACTGTTTGTATTCTCCATTCAGTATTTTCAGTAATGTAACTGTTCAGAACTGTTTTTTCCTTTGTTTCATGTTGTTTTGTTTAATATAATATGAATACTGGATATCGTATTATTTAATGTAGTATATTTGGTTAGATTATGCAGTAGCTTTACTAGTAAGCACCACAGTTTATGTATAGTTGCACAGTAATGAATTGTTAGATTAATTTTTCAATCAGAAAATGGGAGTAGGAAATACTGCTTAGATTATGCAGTGTAAGTTGCTCCTCTTGTGTATTTATGCTCAAATGTGGGTACTGTTGCTTTATCCGAGCTGAAGGTCTCTGACTACTAGAAAGTTTTTCCTTGCTTTTCAGTGTAATGTTTCCTGTGCTTAATTTCATTCCAGCAGTCATTACTGCATACATCTGAGTCTCAGGCAGTGGGTAATTGCCCTCTGGTGTCTGTACGTATACTCATGAAGGTTTTCATGTTTTTTCTTCCTTTCTGCACCTGAATCGCTTTGCCAGGCTAATATTGTACATGTTTAATCCTCATAAATCCTTCCTCACAAAATCAGTATCTCCCACTCATATTAATTTTATGTTGCACTTCTCTGAACTCTTTCCAGTATGTTGATTTCTTTCTGGAAATGTAGCGATTAAAACTGAGTGCAGGAAATAACAAATCCTGCCAAATCAGATCTGCATAGTGAATTACACCCATCACCTTCTATGATACAATTGATTACTGTACATTGTTTTCCTTAAGTATTGTTCACCTGCGGACAACATATTTTTAAGGTTTGCTGTTCAAGTAGTATTTATTTAACCATCACAAATTTTGTTTCTTCTTAATTATTAATGACCTTACTTTTTCCCAAGTCTCATTTTTATACGGTATTTGTAACCTATCATAAAAGTTAGCAATCTCATACTTTGCATTGTCTCTACCTCTTTTTTTTTCTGAAAGCATTGTTTTTTCACACTGCAGTTTCTGATTTCCTTGGGGAACCCAATGAAGCCTGAATCATAATGACTTTATTATTCACTGTTTATCCTGTTTAGATGGGAATTTGTGCTTGCTCATGTTTTCCTGTCGTTTCAATGCTGGTATCACAGAATCACAGAATGGCCAGGGTTGGAAGGGACCTCAAGGATCATGAATCTCCAGCCCCCCTTCCACATGCAGGGCCACCAACCTCCCCATTTCATACTAGACCAGGCTGCCCAGGGCCTCATCCAACCTGGCCTTGAACACCTCCAGGGATGGAGCATCCACAACCTCTCTGGGCAGCCTGTTCCAGCACCTCACCACTCTCACAGTAAAGAACTTCCCCCTGACATCCAACCTAAATCTCCCCTCCCTCAACTTAAAACCATTTCCCCTTGTCCTGCTGTTATCTACCCTTTCAAAGAGTTGATTCCCCTCCTGTTTGTAGGCTCCCTTTAGGTACTGAAAGGCGGCAATGAGGTCACCCTGCAGCCTTCTTTTGTCCAGGCTGAACAAGCCCAGCTCCCTCAGCCTGTCTTCATAGGGGAGGTGCTCCAGTCCCCTGATCATCTTTGTGGCCCTCCTCTGGACCCTCTCCAGCAGCTCCCTGTATTTCTTGTACTGGGGGCTCCAGGCCTGGACACAGTACTCCAGATGGCGCCTCACAAGAGCAGAGTAGAGGGGGGCAATCACATCCCTGTTCCTGCTGGCCATCCCTCTTTTGATGGACCCCAGGATCCCATTTGCCTTCCGAGCCTCAAGGGCACACTACTGGCTCATGCGAAGTTTTTCATCTATCAAGACCCCCAGGTCCTTCTCTGCAGGGCTGCTCTCAAGGACCGCTCCTTCCAGTCTGTATGGATGCCTGGGATTCCTCCAGCCCAAGTGCAAAACTTGCACTTTGCCATGTTGAACCTCCTTCTACCGTGTCAACCGCACCACTCAGCTTGGTGTCATCAGCACACTTGCTGAGGGTGCACTTGGTATCCTCTCTGCTGAAGCTGTCTGAGTACTGTTTATAATCCTACTGATAGTTTTAACTTTACTTTGTCTCTAGAATCTAAATATTTTACAGTACTTTACCTTAACCATACTAACCGGCCTTGGTTTCTAAATTGGGAGTAATAAATTGTTCCTGAAGTGCTCATAAGAGTCCTTTTCTGGATTGAGAAGTAGGTGCATGCCTGAAGTGATTTACTTAATGTCAAGCAGCAAATCAGATTTTGTGTAAAATTGGTTGCCTTGAATCACATTATGCATCAGACTGTTTCATCTCACATACACAATAAAACACAATGCATTGAGGGAAAAAACTTTGTTAGGAAAATATTTCTTTCACCTTTGAATGATATGATCATTAAAAATCACTTTGGATCCAATTGTCACCTGAATCCCAACTGATCTAGCAGGAAGGTTTCTTCCTCATGAAAAAGTGTTAATTACAAAGTAGTTTTATTTGATGTTTATTCTATTACAAATCCTGTGATGTTGTAAAACTGTTCCTTATCCTTCAAGGCTCCTGGTCTAATTGTACAAGCTCTGTTTGGTCTACAGGTTGGAATTGTGGGAAGAACAGGAGCAGGGAAGAGCTCTTTGATAGCAGCCCTTTTTCGGTTGGCTGAACCTGAAGGAAGGATCTGGATTGATAAGTACTTGACATCAGAGCTAGGCCTCCATGACTTAAGGAAGAAAATTTCAATTATACCTCAGGTAAGAGACTGACTTTGCTATAAACATTTTTCCTGTAATACTTAAATGCTTTGCCAGGATATGTATACAGAATATGGAATCAACTTTGGGAACTGGAGAGTTTTCTTCCTAGTTCTATTCTCAGCCCATTCCTCCAGAATAAGTACAAGTAGATTTTAGCAATACGCTGCCCTCCATGGCTGGGAATGAGCAAAGAAAACTGGGTGGGAATACTCAAAGCTTCAGCAGTTCTCTGATGTCAGTTCCTCCTTCAGCAGAAATTCTCACCTGATGCATTGCCTGAAGCTTTCTTAGTAAGGGACTTCGAGGAGCTACATTCAACTCTGTAGACACCCCTGTAGGCTGAGGCTAGGTCTTGAAAGAGCACATATACCAACTGTAAGTGAGCTACCAGACTTTCCATTATGGAGAGAGGGCTGGAGAGGAGAACAGGGAGAGAAGAAAGAGTGGATCATTATGACCCATAAATAAGAACTAGTGATCTTCGGATGCTGAATATAGGAAAGGCTGCCATGGAAGGGGGAGGGGGGAGGGGAAAAAGACATCGTTGGGAATAGATTCGTCTCTGATGTTGGAACAGAAGAAAGGATGTTCTAAGAAATCCAGTAGGCCAGAAGTGTTGTGTTCTATTGTCTGCCTTTTGAATGAAGCAATGGAGAAGAGAAGGTTTATGTGTAACCTCAGAACTTCCTGAAGGCAGTGTCTGTGCAGATTACTCCATTTCATAAGAGGGCTAATTCCTCTCCAGTAGAGAACAAAAGAAGGGGGAAAAGTTCATACATTACACATGCAAAGTCCATCTCTGTGGCAAATAATTATCTTGTGTTTGTTTTTTTTTTATAGCAGGTTGATAGAACAGTAGACTGGAAGCCAGAGGAATTCATTTACTGTGTTTAACACTGATTCTCAAATCTTTGTATTTTGTTATGGAAGTTGTATTTAGAGCTCTTTGGCCATATTTTTATCTGAATCTTTGCTAGTCAGCCATTGCGATGGCATTAAGAGTGTTTATATTACTTTCTTTGAATTGAGAATCTGATAAAAATGGCAATGAACAGTGGTTCCAGCCTCATTGGAGGACATGCCTTTTTTGGTTTTTTGTTTGCTTGTTTTTATTTTCCCAAGAATACGAGTCAGAGAAAGAAAGTATATATCTTAATAAAAATAAATACTCCCCCAACAATTGGATTGTTGCCTAATGCAGGCTGCTTTTTCCTTCTGTATGCTGAAATCTTTCTTTGTGCACAGCAGAGGTAGTTGGTGTAACTATGGAAATAGTCGACTTATGGGATCTAAAGAGAACTTCATGTGGACTTATTTCCTTTCCCTGAAAATATGTAGTCATCAGTTTTTTTAAGGTGCTCTGCAGCTTTCCCAAAGCCCTGCCCTTTTGAAGGTGATTTCCACATTGGGAAGCATTCAATCCCATTGGTTAAAATTCAGTGTTGGGGCAGGAAAGCTGTTGGTCAGGTATGGTTTCTACACACTGAGTTATGTAGATGCTCGAAGTTCCCTGTATTTAGTTACACATTATTTCCATTATTTATTTTTTGTATACAATGTCTTACTGACTCTGGCTTATGGCCATAAACGATTTTAATCCAGTAGAATATTGTGATTGGGTTTTCACTGTGGGCTCAAGGGGCTTTAAGTGTCTGAAGGGTAGCAGGTGACATCTGTCTTCCACATAAGGGAAGACTTCTTTTCACTGAAAATATGTAGAATGTTGAAATGGTGGTAGTAAGAACAGGAGGAGGGTTTGGAATAAGATTCGTGCTGTAGTAAACTGAATGACAAACACTGTCTTTGTAGTACATAAATAACACTAGTGTCAATAATAGAAATAGTCACGGAACAGGCAGTTATTTTGCAGCAAGTATCTTCATAATTATGTGGGAAGCTTTAAAAGAAAAAGAAAAAAACCCAAAACACCAGGGAGGGAGATGTTCATTTAAATTATAAGGCATGCTAAAGTAAACCGTTCCTAGAGAGTAATGAGGTAAGACTGAAGTTTTCTTACATGTAAGCTTAAATACCTACCTGGAGAAATAAAAATGTGCTTAGGCTTCTAATTGCTTGTTTGGATAGAGCTGTGTGAAGGTTGTGTTTGTAAATCTTTTCTATGCAAATATTGTCTGCCTCCCTGACTGCAAGCATTTTTACAACAATTATTTACAGGTTTGTCCTATTACTTTCCTCTCATAAACCAGACTATTTTGAATAATAATCTGTGTCAGAAATGGTAATTAAAAAAATATCCTTATCTACTGTTGCAGTGTATGTCTGTTGTTAAGACTTTTATAGCAGTTAAGAACACACTTTTTAAATTCAGTCCCTTATTTCACTAACCTATAAAAATAGAGTGAAAAGAAAAACAAAGGTAACAAGACCTTTGAAATGCACCAAATAGCATGTACTGTCAATGCAAAATTTCGTATAATTGGCACGCTGCGTCAAGAAATGCATGTGTTTTTTTTACACTGTTTGCAGCGTGTTCTGTCTTTGTTACTCCTTTGATGCCACTCAGAATGGTTTAGATGTCAAGATAATAAAAGGGTTAACGTTGAAATTCTGGTCTGATTTGCTGCTGCCATTTGGGACTGGCCATCAATAGAGTTAGGTGGGACGTCAGTCAAGAGAGAGTAATCTTGGCATAAGCTGAAGTAATGAAATACAAGTTTAGGCATCCTCTTCTAGAGGAAAAAAAGAAAACATTTGAAATAAGATTTGTCCAAATTAAATAAAGCTCTGATTATTTGATGACTAGTCTGCTTTTGTGATTAGCACTATTAAAGCTTTTGAGTTGTAGTCTTGATATAGTATTAAGAGAAATCTAGTTGTATCAGTGCATGAATCTCGGGTCTGGCAAATCACCTTAGTTAGTACTTGCTGCTCAGGGAACACTGGACCAAAAACCATCTTCCACCTTCTCAAATACCATTTTTTTTTTCAACGTGCATTGATTTGTGTCCATGTAATTAATGATCTGTTACTTATTTGAATGGGAACTGAAGTAGAACAATGGCTGCTTTGACCACTGGTAAACCCACACTGGTGCCTTAATGGGAGACTGTACTGGTTTGACTCAGTGGTTTATTTTGAGTTAGATCTTTGACCAGCTGTAAGTAACCTGAGTAACCTTGGTATGATGCTGTAGGCATGTAGATTAGCTTCTTAGTTAACCTATAGTGACTATATGTTACATATATGGGCAGGAAGAATTAAGCATTGCTCTAAAATGGTGGAAGTTGTTTCTTCTAGGATCTTCTGTAAAACTGAAAGGCTTTTATATTATGAAATGAAGAGAGGGGGAACGGAAAAGAACAAAAATAGCATTGGGAGCTCTTTAATTCATCTTTGTTTTATTTAGTGTAAATACAAATTTTAGAAACTACCCAAACATAATTTAGGAGTCTGAGCCCATGGACAGCAACAGTTTTTGGTTTTCACTAAGAATACCAGGGTAGCAGTGATTGCATGTAAGTATATGTATATATATAGCTTGTGGCATCTAAACAGTGTCATGTAAATGCCCATTTGAGGACCAACCTAACTGTGTACAGCAATTTACAAATAAGACCTACTCTGGTAAATGATCTCCACACAGAATGTCTGAATATTTCATTTCTTTCTTCCCTCCTTTTTGTGTGCTAAGTACTCTTCCGTGTTTCATAAAAGATAGCTTGTTGTAGGATATTTCTGTGTTGTGGGTTAATTCTGACTGTTATTAGCTTACTTATTGTGATGATAAAACCTGTGTTTATAATAGAATGCTAATTTTACTCGGTTTTAGGAGCCCGTATTGTTCACTGGGACAATGAGGAAGAACTTAGATCCTTTCAATGAATACACTGACGAAGAACTGTGGAATGCCTTGGAAGAGGTGATTTACTAAATCTAATAATGTACATCTGATGTCTACAAGCCAAATTACACTATTGTGCTTGTGTGCATTAGGTTTTAGATGTTTTCCCAAGGTTTGATAAGGGCATAGCTGTTGATGGAAAAAGGTAGACCGTTGTGTCTGTGTTTGTCAGTGTGTGTTGTTTGTGCATGTGTGTAGACATGAATATTGTTACATAAGTCTTTTATGAAGAAATTATCCCTTGGGATGATGTTTTGGTTACATTTTGATTCATATCTTAGTTTTAATGAACATTAATAGATTCTTAACAATATGCTTTAATGTTTTTAGAATTCTAATAACTGACACTGTGTAATCCAACTTGGCACTTAGTCATTTTGTGCCAGAATATAAAAGGTAAATCTTGCATACTTATTACTGTGTCATCAGACATACAATAGCTGATTTGAAAGGGAGTTACTCATCCTACAATATGTTGACATGTCAACAGGTGCAACTGAAAGAGGTTGTGGAAGATCTACCTAATAAAATGGAGACACAGCTGGCAGAATCTGGGTCTAATTTTAGTGTTGGTCAGAGGCAGCTGGTGTGTCTTGCCAGAGCAGTTCTAAAAAAAAATCGGATCCTTATCATTGATGAAGCAACAGCAAATGTGGACCCAAGGTAAAAACCAAAATGCTGTGTTAAGATGGACTGTTTCTTCTTTTAGTTTGATCACCTGTGCTGTAGAAATGAAATTAAATGCTTTCTATTTCTTGTCGTTTGTATTGCTGTTTTATGTTTTCCACAGTACTATCATAATTATCCATTCATAATGGGGCAACTGAGCTTTAGATCCAGAGCAGATGATGTATACTGGATGTGTGCCCAAAATATCCCTAATTTCGGTGCGTTACGAAGGGTAGGAAGATTAACATTCAGAGTTAATCAAAGTATTTCTCCCGCAGCCATAGACAAGAACTTACCTGGAAATGCAGATCAGTGGTGTTAGAATAGCCATGAAACTAAGCTGAGTTCTGTTGATTCTAGGAAGAAATATCTGCTGGAAAAATAATAAATTAATAAATTAGCTCCCCCCCCTTCCCCTTCAACCTTCCCCAAAAAAGATAAAAAGCATGTCTTGTATAACTCAGGCCAGCAGAACTTTCCTGAATTCATTCCTATTTTAACTACATCGTACTGCTAGAAGGACATCTACCCTCAATAGAAAGAAACTTTCAGTGACAACCCTTGTTAAATTGTTCCAATAGCTAAGTACCCCCACTGTTAATTTTTAAACATTTGAAACACTGGTGGAAATATTTTGGAAACAATACTGCAAATGTACTGCATCAATTAGTCTGAACTGAGTATGTAGTTCCAACAAACTATGGCTTGAGGGGCAACTCAAAGTCCAAAGAGGACAATAACACAGCAAGTCCCTCAAACAGATGCATTAAGGATTTTGTATGTCATCTGGGCGTGACTCATTTTTATAACATCTTCTTGGGGGAGAAGTGGTGCCACTAGGACAGCTTTGCAGTTCAGCTGACAGTGTATTTCTAAAACCTTTAGAGGAGTGCATTCCCTTTCCAGAGGTTCTTTATTTTATTTTGTTTTATTTTACTTTGACGTTTGTTTTCTTTTTTGACTATTAGTTTATTTTTGGCTGAGCACTGATAGATTAACTATGATTAATCATAGCTGTGGAAATTTAATACCATCTTACTCATCCTCCCTATTTTGGCATCTAACGTATGTGTTCTCAACTTGCACTATCCATTTAATTAATCTTGATTAATGTGTGCTGCAATATATATTATAATAAGGTAAATGTTTGTTTGTATCAACTCTACGCATAACAATACAAATAATAACTTGGAACTTCTACTTTGAATTCAGTTTGCATTACAGTCATTATTACCTTTTTCTTAATGCGTTGCTAAAACTAGAGCAAAGTATTTTTCAGCTGTGCAGTCTGATAGGATGCTCGTCAGGAAATGCTGATGTGTGTTGCTTAACTGAGCAGTTAGGGAGGCATTTTTGGAATGTAAAGAAAACCTCCTTCTCTTGCGATGCACAGCCCCCATGCCTGGCACGGTAAGCACACGTTGTATCAAGCACCTGGAATAGGAAACCGTGGGGAGCTGCTGCTGGCTGTAGAGATTATACTTCATTTTTTATTTTTCTGGCTCATCATCTTTTCGCCTGGACCACTGCTGCAACTGCACTTCCCTCCAATTCAACCTGAAAGCAAATGTGAGAAGACAGGACTTGAGGGTGGGAAAAGGAGAGGAGTGGGTGAGATGGCATGAAGTAGTGGAATATGACATTTCTTGGGGCTGAGGAACTTTTCCCCATGGTTCTTCAGCCTGGCTAAGCCATTCATCCTTGCTGGCCAGTGAGGCTGAGCAAAAGAATAAAGGGAAGGAATTTGGAGTTCATCTTTCTTCTTTCTAAATCTTAGAGCTCCCAGAAGTACCCTGCATCTCACAGATAACTGGGTGTTCTGCATACTGCAGGGGTGGCAGTGCTGTTGTAAGAGAGGGGAGGAGTTTGCTATAAAGAAGGTTCCTCTAAGTCAGACTGCTTGCATGTTGCATGTAATGAATGACAAGCGTTGATTTGATTTTATCTTTTTGGTCCTGAAGCCAGAATTCTTATCCTTAAGAATGGAATAGTTTTATAGCAATTAAGTGATTTGGAATGGTGATTTGAAATCTGGAGCAGAAGAGCTGAAAAATCTTTCTGCTGTCACTTTGGTGGTATATTGAAACAAAATCTGTAGTCTTTGAGACTTGGTTTATTTTTAACACCAAGTTCAGTGTACTGAGCTTTCTGTGTACTGAATGTACACAATATGTGTGTTAACCTGTGTTTTTACTACTTGTAAATGCAGTCCACTGCCCCATTTCCACATCAGTGATTCATTGAGTCTGCTTAAAAACAGTCATTGCACACAGTTCAGTTTGTTAGTCAGCTTAACCTTGTAAAATTTAACTTTTTATTACATCTCATTGCTATCTGTACTTGTTTCCCTTTTGGAGAAGTTATCAGCATGTGTGGCCTTCTCCAGGGCCGCTCAGGAATTGTTTAATGTGAGATATGCTTCCAGGACAATCCCAGGATGACATTAGACTGAAGATAATGACTTATCCCGCATTTCTTTCACCAGCTTGATTGCTTCTCACTCACATTGCATTTATACTTGCTCTTTAGATGTCTTCCTTTTTACCCAGTCAGCTAATTTTGGATATACCGGGTCCTGAGTTGCAATGTAACTTGCTGTTAGACCTTCAACCCACAGTGCCAGTGAGACAATTATAGCACCATTTTTTCATAGAATCGTAGAATGGTTTGTGTTGAAAGATCACCTTTATGATCATTTAGTTCCAACCTCCCTGCCTATAGCAGGGGCACCTCCCTCTAGACCCGGTTGCTCAAAGTGCCATCCAGCCTGGCCTTGAATGCTTCTCAGAGAGGGGGCATTCACGACCTTACTGGACAACCTGTTCCAGTGTCTCACCACCCTCACAGTAAAGAATTTTTTCCTAATATTTAGTCTAAATGGTTTAAGACCATTTCTTCCTGTCCTGTAGCTAAATGTCCTTCCTCAGCTTTCCTGTAGGCCTTTTCAGGTACTGGAAAGCTGCTATATAATCTCCCCAGAGCCTTCTCATCTCTAGGCTGACGAGCCCCAGCTCTCTCAGCCTTTCCTCACAGGGGAGGTGTTCCAGTCCTCTAGTCATCTTCGTGGCCCTTCTCTGGACCCTCTCCAACAGCTCCGTGGCATTCTTGAGTTGTGCTTACTTCAGCCAAATCTGCTCTTGAGCTTCACATTACTCACCTCCTCACTGGTGAAGACGAAGTCCAGCATAGCACCTTTTCTCATGAATTCCTGTAACACTTGGAATAGGAAGTTATCATCAACACATTTCAGGAACCTCTCTGATTTCTGGTGCCCCATTGTGTTGACTCTCTAAGAGATATTGGGATGGTTGAAGTCTCCCATTAGGACCATCTTTGGTGAATGTGAAGCTGCTCCTATCTGTTTACGGAGGGCCTCATCCACTCGGTTTTCCTCATTGGGTGGCCTGTAGCAGACTCCCACTGTGATGTTTCCTTCCCCCGCCTTCCCTTTAACCCTAACCCATAAGCTCTCTGTCCTCATCTATCTCCAGGTGGAGCTCCATGGACTTCAGCTGGTCTTTGATGTAGAGGGCAACACCCTCTCCCTTTCTCCTCTGCCTGTCCTTCCTAAATAGATTATACCCCTCTGTTCCTACATTCCAGTCATCCCACTGTGTCTCAGTGATGCCAGTGATGTCAAAGCCGTGTAGGCACACACATGCCTGCAACTCTTCTTGCTAGTTCCCTGTGCTCCGTGCATTAGTGTACAGGTATTTGAGTTGGGCTCCCATTGAGGCTGATTTAGCAATTGGAGTTTCCTTATCCTGCATCTTAGGTGCTGTCTTACTGCCTTCTGATCCAACTTTAGGCCCAGGGCATCCATTGCCATTATCTGCCTCAAAGTGGGATGGTTTGAGGATCCCCTTCCCCAGCCACTCTAGTTTAAAGCCCTCCTGCTTGTTGCCAGAGATGGTCTTCCCCTTCTGGGGAGTCTATTTTCGTATTACTAGATTAAGGTCGAGTTTCTGTCATCCAGCAGCCATGGTTTGCTGTTCAGGTTGCATATTTGGTTTATGATGTGCCACTTAAGAGGATAATGAAATTCCTTGACACTTTCTTGGCCACTTTCTCAGTGTGGGTTGACTCTGCACAGGGGTCATTTATGCCTTCAATAAAGGACAGAAATACTGCTTGCTTTGGCACTTTTCTGGAGGCTTGACTGCTCCAACTGGCATGTAATATAGTCTCTCATGAGGAAGCTCACGAGAACTTGCCCTTGCAGCCCAGAAAGCCAGCCATATCCTGGGCTGCATCAAAAGAAGCATGGTCAGGAGGACAAGGGAGGTGATCCTGCCCCTCTACTCCGCACTGCTGAGATTTCAGCTTGGGTTCTGTATCTAGATGTGGAGTCCTCAGTACAGAAGAGATGTGGACCTGTTAGAGTGCGTTCAGAGGAGGACCACAAAAATAATCCAGGGTGGAGTACCACTCCTGTGAGGACAGGTTGAGAGAGCTGGCGCTGTTCAGCCTGGAAAAGAAAAGGTTCTGGGGAGACCTCAGAGCAGCCTTTCAGTATCTGAAGGGTGGTTATAAGAAAGAGGGAGACAGATTCTTTATCAGGGTCTTTAATGATTGGGCAATGGTTTCAAACAAAAAGAGGGGATATTTAGATTGGGTATAAGGAAAATGCTTTTTACAGTTGTGCCCAGAGAGGTAGTGGAAACTCCCTTCCTGGAGATGTTCAAGTCAGGCTGATGGGGCTCTGAGCAACCTGATCTAGCTGTTGATGTCCCTTTTTATTGTAGGGGAGCTGGACTACATGACCCTTAGTGGTTCCTTCCAACTCAAACGATTCTCTAATTCTAAGCTGTAAGCTGCCATGAGGCCTTCCCTCATCCTCTTCCTCTTTTATGTCTGAAGAAACCAAGTGACTTCAGTTGTTTCATGTATGTCTTGTCCTCTAGACCCTTCACTATCTTTGTAGCTCTCCTTTGGACAGTCTCTAATGGCTTTATGTCCTTATATTGAAGCACCCAAAACTGCTCACAGTGCTCAGGGTGAGGCTGCACAGAGCAGAGCAGGACAATCCCTTTCCTCTCCTGGCTGGCAGTGCTGGACCTGATGCACCCCAGGGTACTGTTGGCCTCTTGGCTAGTTTTGGCTTCAGAGGCACTCTGCTGATTCAGATTCAAGTTGGCATTAACCAGAACGCTCGGATGCTGTTCTGCAGGGCTACTCTGCAGCCTCTCAAGAATGAGAATTGTTTTCTTAATGGATATGCAATAAGAGATGATGCTATAAGGAATGCATGTAATAATGGAATGTATAATAAATGAATGCAGAGGACAGGGGTGTTCAAGGATTTTGCATTCTACTGAGATAAGAGTAGGAATAATCTGAGAGTTTAAAATCATTTTGAGCTCTTTTAAAAGTTGTTTTTGAAATTTCTGAGCGAACTGCAGTTTTCTGTGGTCCTTACTTGCTCTGTAGGAAACCTCACCTTGAGATTGACTATAATGAAAGAAAAAGACTTTCCTTACATTATTTCAGGTAGTACTGAAGCTTTTGTTTCCATTTTGCTATTCACTGTGGGCTATTTTTAACCATTGCCTCTTCCCTACTTAGTGTTATCGTGTGTGGTACTGGTTTTCTTTGTTGAAATAAATAGATCATTGAAGCATTATTGAGAGGACAGCAGAAAAAAAAATGTGTGCATTAGCAATGCAGTGGTAGCAATGTTACTGCTGTGATCTGATAGAAGTACATGGTCGTGGAGCTTTAAGCAAATTGCTTTTTTAAGGAGGTTGCCATTATGTCTTGTCCTGTCACTTGACACTCTTGAAATGAGCCTGGTTCCGTCTTCATTGCACTGTTCCTTCAGGTATTTATAGAAATTGATACGATCCCCCCTCTTCTCCATACTGAACAGTCTTATCTCTCTTGGCCTTTCCTCGTAGGAGAGGTGCTCATTGTGTAATCATCTTTGTGGTCCTTTGTTGGATTCTTTCCATTATGCTTGTATATGCTTATACTGAGGACCCCAAAAATGAACACAGTGCTCCAGGGATGGCTTCACTAATGCTGAATAGAGGAGAAGGATTTTCCTAAGTCTTTCCTTACTCTTCTTTTAGGAAATAGTAGCAGAAGAATCAAACTACCAAGAATCTCAGACCTCTCATTTCCTTAATGAGTGTTCTTATTGCTGCTAAACTGTTAGAAGTAAATGTAGTAGATGGTCAAGGAAGAAGTGTGTCATGCTCCAAACCGGTCCAGTGGTCCAGGTAGCAGTAACAATTTTGGCAAAAACTGAGTTCTTCTCTAAAAGTGCTCTGTCTTGTCCAATTCATGACAGAGCATAAATGTTTCTGTCTCCGTAGGAGGATGGCAGTAAGCATGCATGGGAACTCTTACTTAACTGTTAATAATCCCCCTTCTCTCTCTCATCATCTGTTCTCTCATCAGCAGTGATCTGTCTTCTTTTGTCATGCTGACTGCCTAAACAGTTTGTAACAGAAGTTGTGTTCAGTCCATCAGACCACAAAATCATACTGTGGACCAGGGAAACAGTGGTGACACCATTCCTCACATCATCCTACACTTCCAAAGTTATCTGTTTCTCCTTTTTGTTGTTAGTGCTTCCTGCCATGGTGGAAACAGAACAATTCTTTTTTGCTTGTGAGACAGTACCAAATATTTGTCATGTCCAGATGGATTCAGTGTACTAGTATCTAGAAAATAATGATTTGACAGAGGAAGGTGTGTTCTGTGTGTGCTGTATTTGATTTCCGAGTTACTTAGAACAGTTTGAACAATTAAGGCTTTGCAAACAACCAGTTGAAGTTCACATGGCCCCTGAATATATTTGTTTATCTAGACGTCTTCGATGCTCTATGTGGAGCATTTATTATTGTCTAATCATTGCACAGAAGTACAGTATTCTGTTTTAATAGGAATCCTGGAAACGAGACCTGTGCCTTCATATGCCTGAATTCTAGGCTGCAACATCCCTGGTCTCACTAACACCGATGCATTTTGAGCTGTTTATGTCTTCCTTTGATCTTGGATGATAATTTTAATTTCTGTACCTGTATTCCCACACTGCCTTTTTCTCCACTGTTTCCACTCATCGTCTTTTGAAGGCTGATGCACAATATATGCATATTCACATGACCTGGCGTTGTGCCCAGGAACTAAGGCTTCTGGGGCATTGTGGGCTGTCACGTGCCTGTAGAAGGCATTCATCACCTGATGGCTGCCTAATTCAGGTGCTCTTATTCAGATTCCAACCATGCCTTTCCCCTTTTCGTTGACTTTAAGGAGGGTTATATAGATTTCCAAATTTAAGTCTAACTGCAGTGCTTTAAGTTAGGTGATGCCAATGCTTCTTCAGTATAGTCTCTTGAATATTATCCAGTTTTATCATTATTACAGGCCTTTTGCATTAATATTTGATTATACAACTAAAGAACATTTTAGTGTCTCTTGTATATTTCAGTATATTTCGTTTTCAGGATTCTCAACTTAACTCATGACAGTTCTCAACATTCATACTTCAGTGTCTGCTCTGGCTTTGTTTTCATTCTTTAAAAGTCATGTGTTTCTACCTGATACCTTTCCTTAAGAGACTAATTCATGTTGTGGATTGAGATTCTTGATAGCTTTTATGTGTTCCAACTCAGGAATTTCATGATTCTATCCCTTTCCTTGGATTTTGTATCAATCAACACTTGATTTATAAAGCATATCATTCTGTACTCAAGTCCTTGAGCTACTGCAGTTGTAGCTTTGCTTACCAACCAGCTCTGTAATTTAACCCACTTTTGCAGTGGTAATGAAAAATCTTTGTTAGAGGTTGTCTTCTGTTCATTCATTTACAATGAAGGTTATTTATTTTCACTAACTTTTATTCACAGCTTGCATAAACTAAACCTTAAATAATAGTGTTTTGTTTTGGGTTTTTTTTGGTATAGAATAGAAATCTGTAAGAATACCTCACTCTGCTAAAGGGAATGTTCCTTCTTCTGTATTCACAGCTTGGAAGGCAAGACTCCTGAAATGAAAGTTACTGCTCTACTTTCAAGGAGAAATTCTTTTCTCCTCAACCACTAGCAGATAGGTTTTGGGGTATGTTTCATGGTATGCCTCCAGGAAGAAGCACTATAATGACTTCATAAGCACATTTCCTGCTATACAGTCATGTTTGATGAAGTCGTAAAAGCTGCCTGCCATTAAGTTATCCCTGCTAACATCTTACTTTTGTCTGCACTGCTCTTGCTGTGTTTCAGAACAGATGAGTTCATCCAAAAGACAATCCGTGAAAAGTTTGCTCAGTGCACAGTTCTGACCATTGCACACCGCTTGAACACCATTATCGACAGTGACAGAATTATGGTAAGAATTAACAGCTTAATTTTTTTTTTTTTTTCCCTGCAAATTGATAATTTTGTTTACTCTCCTTACTTTTGATTGAGAAATGGTCAGAAGTTGAAGTTGTAATTTAAGACTTATCCTAGATATCCTAGGGGCTGTGACAGGCAACTCATGAAACTGTAGTGGTAATGACCTGAAAAGACTGCTTACATTTTCTCACTCTGTGGTTTCCAACCTGCCAGGCACAAACCCATTGCAGGTGAGGCGCAGCAGCAAACTTAAGCAAATGATCTCTGTCGGTACTAGTGAAGACACACCCAAGTGCTCTGGACAGAGTCAGCTGGATTCAGTCAAGTTTATTAATTCAGTCTCGGTGGGCTGAGGGAGGCAGTGCAATATTTAGTGGTGTGGAATGTATGAGAAGGAAGTGGTAGAGGTTCTGGAGCAGGAGATGTTGGTAACAAGGCAGCAACTGCCCTGGGGCAAGGGTGTTGGTTGGAGAACTGGAGCTAGACGGGTGAGGAACTGAACGTGGCCAGCTTTACAAAGCAAGATTCAGACAGAAAAGATGGAGTATTACCAATCCAGCAGCCTCTGCCATCTTTGTTCCCGACGGAACGGCGGTATATTCCGCTCATGTGAAGCACCACATGGTGCCTGCCCTGTGATGCCTTGCACACAAACAGAATGAAAAATATATACTTGCTGATTATTTTCATAAAGGCAGTGGTCTTCCCTCAGCTCTCAGGAGCTCAGTCTGGTTTGTGTCCTTGAAACGATGTTCTATCTGCGCTTTTGCAATTTCCTTCAGTAGCAGCAGGAGCCTATTGCAAACATTTTCTTCACAGTCAGTTAATGGGGTAACTTACTAGTGGGCAAAGCTTTTGTGAGTGGAATTCAAATTTAAATGTGCGTCAAACAGAAATTACCCATATCCTCTCAGTGGTAACTTTAAAAAATATTTATGAAACTTTTTTATATTAAAATGAAGTTTGTTAATTCTTTCAGTATTGTTTTGTGTGGTTGTTCTTTTTTAACTGGATGCCCAGAGCATTTTAAAATCTGTGATTGAGGTACAATGGTAGCCCGAAGTATGCAAAATGAAACAATTGGACCTTCTGAGGTGAATGATGTTCTAAGGAATAGAGTACAGCAGATTGTGAACTGAGTGATTATAGTTTACTTATGAAGAGAGAAACCAGCAGAACTGCCATAATAAGTCATGTAATTGCAAGCATTTAAGGTATAATAAATAAATATTTTCCTCACTGGTGAATACCTCCCCACAAGTCTAATGGATATGTTGGTGTTCTCTACAAGTAAAGTGAACAAAAGACTTGTGAGGAAACAACTGTGACCTAATTAATAGCTGTATGTGTTTGTTAGCTGTCCAAAGGGATTTCTGTGGGTTTTGGTTCATTAACTACCATTAACATGTTATGCACAGAATGTTCTTTCCATGAAGATGTTTTCTTAGTTTTACCTTTTAATATTGTGCAGTTGAAATAAAAACTAGATGTTTTTATTTACTATTTTGCTAAAAACATTTAATTAAAATTGGAAGTTACTCTTCAGATTGTTCAGTATCATTGCCAACAGTATAACTACTCTATTATATGTTAAGATCCTGTATCTTATTTTTGACCTTCCGTTGTTTCAGTTCAGCCACTATCAAGATCTGACCTTCCTAAAGGTCCACTTTTACATTATCTAGTACAGTGTTTTTAGAATGACTTTAGCCTCTTTAGAGTACATTAAGGAAAAGATTTGCAAGAAGGTCTGCTTTAGGGTCTGCAATCATTAGTGTCTCCAGTGTTTTTCATCTTTTTACATTACTTCATTTGATCCTTCGTATTACTCTAATTCTGGGAGGAAGTAAAGGGTGAGAAGTATTAGAAAATGGAGGAAACTGGCACGTTGACTCAGTAACAAGCCTGTTTTCTTGACATCCTTATTCAGAGTTACTGATTCTGCTTCCAAACAAATTGTAAAGTTTATATTGTTCGAGGAGTGATCAGAGTTACGGCAGGTGTGCTTTTGTTATATTTTTTAATTACTTGGTTTACTCAGGCATGTAAATCCTAGTGGGAATATAATGCAATTTTGGAAGAGTAAGAAAAGTCTGTGCGTTAAAAATATAAGGAGCAGGATAACCATAGAAGGCAAACTGTTAAGGAGTACCATTAACAATAAAAACGGCTTTCACAGAAAAGTAATGTTTTGCTTAAATATTAAGAAAATTGGGAAAACTCAGCTAAAGAGAGCTTTCTGTGAATTTTAAAATTTGGTGTCTCAAAATTTTAATGTGTTTTAGTGATTTACACATTTAACTTTGTGCAGATTCTTTACAAGTATTCAAATGCACAGCTGAATTGCATTGTTACTCCAGTATCAGGTATTATTAAAACTTCTGTTTTTCTCTCTTGTTTAACTGAGATGTATGGATAAAATAATACATTAATTTATATGTCATCCCCATCTCTGTTGTCTGTCCTGGTAAGTTTGGTAGAAAATGAATGAAGAAGAACAAAGATGGAACCTCCTAGTTGGAATATTATCAATTATCTTTTGGCAAGCAATGAGTAAACTTATTTTTCAAATAAATGTTGGGCAAACCCATTCAGCTTTCTTAACTTATCCTGTTGCATCTTGAAAACATCAAAGATAGAGATTCTGTACGTTTATGGGCATCCTGTCACAGTGTTTAATTATCTGCCAATAAATCTGTATTTTTCCTTATATCCACTTAAAACCTCACCTCAGTACGTGGCAAAAGTTCCTTGTTTTCCCACAGTATATTTCACTAAAGACCGTGGCTCTTGTCTTCTGACTAACTTTATTGTAGGTATGAAATTACTCCTGTTGAGTCTCTTAAAGCCATCTGCTCTCCTCAGTGAACAAACTGCTCTGTTAGCCTGTCCTCTCACTGGGCTGATGCTCCAGTGCCCTTAGTATCCTGCTGAATGTGTTTCAAACTTCAAACCAGAACTTTAAACTTCAAACTTTACCCTCGCCTTTATTGTTCTGGGTAAAAGACGAAGGGCAAAAGAGCATTGGCAAAACTGTTGCTGGTACTGATCACAAGGGGTTAGCCCATTACAGATTTGGGTCTTTACATCTGTCCGTGTTGTTTGTCATCAGGTTCACGCTGAACTGTTCTTTTAGCTTGTCTGCATATAGATGCCCTTGATTGCTATCCTGTCTTAAGCACACTGACTGCAGTTTTCAGTTTGACATTGTCCACGTGCTTTTGATCTAATTCCATTTAATTGCTAGTTAAACCAGAATTTTCCAAAAAGATGACATCCATCATTAGGGTTAATCCAAACGTTAAGAAGAATAAATAAATAAATAAAATAGAACAAAATAATTCTGAGAAAGTCATGAGAAAAAGTCAAGTTGGATGAGTATGGAAATAAGAACTGAACGTGAACTGTTGCATGTCTGCTCACACCCATTGTAATAACCGGTTCTATTTTAAAAGAGAAGAAAGCCTACTGGAAGAGGAAAAAAAGGAAGAACAAAATACGTTTTTATACAACTGTAGACAAATCTGGCCTCGGGAGTTGTTTTAATTCTCGTTTGTTCTATTCCCAAAACCATACCTCTGGTTTCATAATCCAGGTCACGCCTTAAGAGTATTTCCATTATATCCATCTTACTGATAAATCCACTTTATCAGAACTTCAAACGCATAAAATCGTTGAGGGAAGAGCTGCATTGTGTAATGTGATACTCTCTAACCCAATCACCTCAATGAGTAATCCTCCATTGCACTTGCATAGGACTTTTCATCTGGAAATTGTAACGCTCTTTACAAACATTAATTAATTAAACTTCAAACACCTGGGTGAGATAGGGAAGTATCCATACAATCTTTGGAACCAAAGTTGGAAAGACTTGTTAAGTCAGGCCATCAAATAATCCTACCATAAAATTATAATCCAGTGGTTTTCAAACTTTTTTTTTCCCCCCTGTGCTGTTCAAGACTACTATAGGATATTTTCTCACTCATGTTTCCCTCATTATTTTAAGAACCCAAGTTGTAGCTCCTCCTACCAGATGCCTACTTATACTCATTTTAGCCATTTGATATAAGCAGCCTCCTTTCTCCCTAGCAAAGGGGGGAGGATGGGAGAAATGCTACAGTTTCCTCTCTTCTAGCGGCAAATCCCGTGAAAAGCTCAGTTCAGGCTTGCTCCACTAGCCCCCCGTTCCACATAGCATGCCCACCACCACAACAGCTGCTTCCCTATCATTTTCTCACCTTACAGTGTGAGGGCCTTTTACCTAAATCACGTCTGCAGCTCACCAAACCCAGTCAGGAGCAGCCTGGGGCAGCCAACAGGCACCACTCCCAAGACTTCCAGTGGTATCTTGTAAAATCCGCATCACCCATTCCTCCCCCTCTTCTCTGCTTCCTTGTCCAGGTTGAGAAATACTTTTTAGAAACTGTATTTTTAGAGAGGAGAGAAGCTGAAGCATGCAGAAATTGAAGCTCACCTAGGGAAGCAGTGAATCAGTAGCAAATTAAGTATGTGTGTCTGGCAGGAATCTGATGCAGTTCTTTGTTCTGGTTGCTGTGCTGTGGTCTTTCGGTAGGAGAGCCTTAAAGTAGTGAAGACTTGTGCATTTTCCAGTGACAAGGGTGTTTCTCCACAGAGACTTTTCATATTAGTAAAATACTTATTTGAAATGAAAGCTCTTTATGCAAGCAGAACTTGATCTAGTAATTAAAAACTGTCATTCAAATAGGAAATTTTTGAGGATGAGAACCATGGGAAGAGATCTGATTTATTAATGGGAAAACCTGTTGTGGCTATGTACTGAAGTGACTTCATACTCATGGTTAACAGTGCAGTGTACCCGATAACCGGACCTGAGGTCTTTTTTTGGTCAATAGAAAATGACTTCTTACATCTCTCTGGTACACCTCGCTCTTTCAGTTTTTCCCATTTTTCTGACATCGCGTTATATTTACCTTGTTGGAACACCTGGGCCTCATAAATCAGGTGCTGTGT